GTTCTTAAAGACAGAGGGGTATTTTGCATTTGTCCTGGACCAGTGTGTGTCCTGCTGGGCCACTAAGGGGTTCCTATGTACAGTGGAAGAGGGCCAGCTGGTCTTTAAAGTGTGGTCGTGAGTATGTGGGAATAGGGGAGGTTTAAAGTTTCCTTCATGGTCAAGTTATCTAATTGTTCTTCTTGGGTTATTGTTTGTCACTCCTAGCCCCGCTTGAGGTTCCATCATTTTAAATGGTTGCTCTTGACTGGTTGTGTGCTACCTTTTCTACTTTTTTACAAAGGTCCAAAGAGTCTCTTGCCCCCTCTCCCACTGTGTCAGGGTGTGGTGATGTAAGCCAAAACATTTTCTGTTGAAATGGCAAGGCATTAGAATTTAATAGAAATGTATTTGTATAGTATTTCCCCTAATACCCTCTTCAGTTGATGATGGAAAGAAAGAAACTCTAGTTTGGTAACTAACCTTGAAGCATTGTTTTGGGCTCAGAACTGAGCAGTTATATTCCTTTCTGACCTCCAGGTGGCAACCACGCCAAGCCTTGTGACAAGCAGTGCAGCTACTACCCTGACTGTCAACCCTGTGCTCCCTCTGACCAGCGCTGCTGTAACTAGTCTGTCAGTCGCAGGTAAGAGACACCCAACAGCAGCAACTCATAAACTCCCAGCAGCCAGCGATTAAACAATTTGTGTGACAGTTTTGTCCAGTAGTGCCGTGTACCTATCAAATGAGTAGCATATTGTTTAAGGAGAACAGTATTTTACCAGATTTCATATACTCCAATATTGTGTTGTCATTTGGAAGATGCTAGGACTTGTTGGATTCTGTTGCTTAACTTCCATATGGAACTCACTTGTGAATTTTCTGTACCCCGTGCCAAATAGCATGAGTTGGGGGTCTCAGATATGCTCAGTTAAAGTCATGTATGTATACATTTGTGGCTTAAGCACACACAGCCACAAAACAATACAGAAAATGTCCCTTTAGTTCTCTTTTCAAAGATTTGATTTGACTCCAGACTGATCAACTTTCTCTGACCCCACTCTCACCTGACACTTCTTAATTTTTCTTGTTGTTATGCAATATCATCATCATCCATATCAGTAGGGTTAATGGTATAGTGGAGGTCAATGCAAGCTTCCCCAACACGGTCTTGTCTTCATGCCTGTGTTCAATAATTTAGTCTTTGTGACTCTCCAATATGTCTTTAGCTGCTGCTGCCAACCACAAGAGTAAAGAAGTGTACCTTAGAAGTAAAAGGCACTATTTTCCATTGACAGCCTACTGAACCACTCAGCCTCTTCGTGAAGAGCCATTTTAATTACAGTTCAAGATCCGTGTGCACTAGTCCATCTCTCTTTAGAACTTACCATATTTACCCAACCTAAGATGATTCTGAATTTAAGACAACCCCCAAATAATTAGATTCTTTACATGGAAAAAATTATATTTGTTATAATTTTCTGTGTCTGGAACCTAAACTAACTATTAGAGGACTGTCTTAAAGTTGTTCCCCACCCTCAGCCCTGCTGTAGTGGGGAAAATGGTGGGGGAGAGCATGGCATGAGGACAGATAGTGGGGGAGTTGAGCAGCTTAACCCTTACCCTTTGTTCCCCCATGCAACTTGACCCCTGCCACCTAAGCTTCCCCTCCCCCACTTGCTTCCTCTGCTGCCTTCCCCCCATGCCTGCACATCCTGGTACTTGCTACTCTCTGCCTTCCCCACCCCCTCAGGTTTGGGTGGGGGGGGCATTGCATAGGCAGCTGGGGGTCTGATCCTGGATCAGGGCTGGAGCCACAACCATAGCAGGCACCTGTTGTTCCCACAACCACCTTGTACTCCAATCCAAGACAAAGGGATTTTTTTTCTCTTTATTAAATGGGGGGGGGGAAGGTTGTCTTGGACTTGAGTAAATATGGTACTGTGCTCTTCAGTCCCACAGTGACTTACATTTGTTCCACTTAATCTTACCTCTGCTGTCCAGTCCAGGTGCTAGAGACTTCTGCTCAGGTGTATGTCTGCTTTCTACTCTTCTAACTAGAATGTGCTTTCCAGGCACAACAGAAACCACCTCCAACAACACGGCAACCGTAATTTCTACAGCACCTCCGGCTTCCTCGGCTGTGACATCACCCTCTCTGAGTCCTTCCCCTTCTGCCTCAGCCTCCACTTCAGAGGCATCTAGTGCCAGTGAGACCAGCACAACACAGACAACCTCTGCTCCCTTGTCCTCCCCTCTTGGGACCAGCCAGGTGATGGTGACAGCATCAGGGTTGCAAACAGCGGCAGCAGCTGCATTACAAGGAGCTGCGCAGTTGCCCGCAAATGCGAGTCTCGCTGCCATGGCTGCTGCAGCAGGACTAAATCCAGGCTTGATGGCACCCTCACAGTTTGCAGCTGGGTAAGGATGGTCTGTTGTACACTTGTAAGACAAATGAAAATAGGAATCCCCATTTCGTAATAGAATGTGTAATACTTGTAGCATCTAAGACACTCACAGTATTTGTACAGAAAACTAATACATTAAGCCTTGCAGCACTCCAGTGTAGTAAATAGAAATTATCCCATTTTAAAGATGGGGATGTTGAGGTCCAGGAAGATTAAATGACTTAGAAAGCCAGTGGCAGAGCTGAGCATAAAACCAGGGAGAGCTCTGAGTCATCATACATAGCTAAATCATAGCACCTACTGTACTGTTAACTGTAGCCAAATAGAATAAATCCCCTTCACTCTTCTGCATTTATTTGTTCTTGTTGGGACCCAGGTTAATATGGAGGGCACCTGAATTTTTATCGGAAACCATTCTGTTGAGGCATTGGATTAAAAAATAGTACTGTAAGAGTTGCTTTACAGTTCCGTCAGGATGTTCAGATCAAAATGAAATTAAATAGTGAGGTGGTGGTGGTGGTGATGATTATTCTGTAAAAGAGTTGTAGTCACTTTGAGCCTAACTTGCACCAGCAGTGCACTAACTTGGGCAGCTGGGATGCCTGTATTTTTAAGCCTCTTGTTAAACACAGTGTTGAAAGGCAACTGTGAAGGATCTATTCGAGGCTGCATTTTTCTGTGAGAAATTCTGATATTACAGGAAAAGTTAAAAAATGAGACTCCTGAATTCTGCTCTTTTACCTTCCCCTTTTTCTTTATATGGTGGTGTATGTCTGAACAGTGGACTGGTCTTACCTGAAATTAATAGTTCCTCCCCATGTCTTTGTCTCCTCTCCTATTGTCTCAATATTGCAGAGGTGCCTTACTCAGTCTCAATCCAGGGACATTAGGCGGTGCTCTCAGCCCAGCTCTGATGAGCAACAGCACACTGGCAACTATTCAAGGTCAGTAACATTTTTGTGGATGCATTTCTGAGTTAAAAAAGCTCGGTTGTCTGTGTATTTTGCAAACAGAGAGAGACAGAGCTCTTTTTCCTCCACACCAAAAGTCAGCATTCAGGCTTTACAGAGTAGATCTGTACACTCTGTGATTTGTTCTGCGCCTCAGTTATAAATGGTAAGAGATGATTTGGAAGTGCAGTTAGAACAGTATGTAGCCTCTTAGGGATTTAGAAGGGGAGTTGGTGGGCATGGAGGTATCATCTGTCATAACACATTTAGATATCTGCTTTTTCTACAGCTTCTTTTTGTCAGAACCTTGAAAATGGTATTGTTTAAGACCTGTTGCAGGGCATTTCAAAGAGCAGGCCACCTCGGTGCAAGGATCCAATGTTAAGACTTTAAAAATGGGCACATAGAGTAATTGTTGTCAACACATCCAGAATTTAAAAAGCCGTGCTTAAAACAGTGTTGCCTTGTAATGGCTCCATGTACGTGCATGTTCGGTCCTTTCCACTGCTGTCCCCCTTGAGTTGTATGTCTTCCCTGGCCAGTAAGATGGAGTGTGGGTTCCCATTAGGGTCTTCAGCCAAAATGGTTGAAATGGTTAGAAAGACTCACTTTGATTTTAGTTGATTTTTAGATCAGGTGCACTGCAGCCATAGCAGCCCCTGCAGAATCTTATTAGACATTGGTCCTAGGGAACTTTTTCATCGTAAATGCGGTCTTCTATTTTGAGATGACAGCTCGGTGGAGGGCAGTTTGAACAGGAGGTCAGCAGTATTTCGTTGGTGAAAAATAACTCACTGTAAACTTATGCTTTTTGAGTATATTTAGATGGGAAATACTGAGTAAATTCAGATGAAAGAACCTCCAGTCTATATTTTTTAATGTAAAAATCACCCAGACACACCTTTTACATTTTATTCATTGGTAGGAACTTTATATATTTTTATCACTTTACAAAAATTAAAACTAGCTTCTGCTTAGCTTCAGCTGCTCAGCTTTTGCCAGCCAAAACCCAACCCGGTGGCAACTGGAACTGCTCTGGGTAGTGTGAAGTGGTGCTCCAAAGATATCAGGTACTACACGGTTGAATTGTGGCACATGCTTGCACAGTTACTTCACTTCACCTGCCTTAGGTTGACCACATGCAATCCCATAAAATGGGTCCTGTCTCCTCAGAAACAGATGAAAAAGATATTTGCAAATTATTTAAAAATTAGCCTTAGGGTTGTATGCAAGATACAGATGTCACTGTTTGCATATAACTCATTAAAATGTTACTTCAGAACATTATTGTTGTTTTGGCTTTGTTTTTACATGGCAATGGCTCTGGTTTCCTTACAGATAAGGAAATATGCTGGGGAGTTGTAAACAATGATGAGTGGGGAAGGAAACCCCCTCTCTCCTTCCCATAATTTGGGGATATTGAGGGACTTCTCCCTCTTACGTTCTTACCTCTGCCAACCTCAATAACCCCATGTCCCAGTTTAAAGCAACTTCGATTCTTTTTATGATTGGGTGAAGTAAGAGGACGGAATCTGTAGAGGAAAGAGTACTGTTGTCATAGGAGGGAAATCTAGAGAGTTGTTGCACGTAGCCACATTATTTTTTGCTGTTAATGCTGATGTCTCCTCCCTGTCTGGTTTTTCTTTTATAGCTCTTGCATCTGGTGGCTCTCTTCCAATAACATCACTGGATGCAACTGGGAACTTGGTATTTGCCAATGCTGGAGGTACTCCTAACATCGTAACTGCCCCTCTGTTCCTGAACCCTCAGAATCTTTCTCTGCTCACCAGCAACCCTGTTAGCTTGGTCTCTGCAGCTGCAGCCTCCGCAGGGGCCTCTGGACCAGTTGCCAGCCTTCATGCCACCTCCACCTCAGCCGAGTCCATCCAGAACTCTCTTTTCACAGTGGCCTCCGCCAGCGGGGCCACTTCCACCACCACTACTGCCTCCAAGGCACAGTGAGCCGGGCTGAGCTGTGCTGCTACCAGCCTGTTTCACTCTGCAGTGGGATTGGCTACCAGCTGGGTTTATGAACTGAAAAATGTGATTGGCTTCCTCTCGCTATGTTGCTGGGGACAAGGGAGAGAAGGAAAATTATCAAAACAAAAGCAAAACAGGAAGGATATAAAGCTGGGACAGACATTTGCCTAATTTTATAATAAACACTGTCTTTTCAGGATCGCTTCATGGATCGGAGAACTTTCTAACCAAAAATGTAAAAAAAACAAAAAACAAAACAAAAACAAAAAAACAAAAAAACAAAAAACAAAAAAAACCACAAAAAAAGTGAAAGGACTACTTATCATTTCCAGCAGTCACAATGACAAGTTAAGGTGGGTTATCAACTCAAACATAGAAAGGGGATTTCTCATTTCTTTTTGGTCTAAATAAATAAATATCTTTTCTTTTTTTTTTTCTTTTTTTTTTAATTATCATTTTATAGGTCTGTTGTACAGGCCATTATGTCATACAAGGTGTTTATAATCGTATCAATCATGTCGGGGGTTCCTTTCTTAACTGGTACAATTTAGGCAGGCCTGTATTACTGGTGTATCTCTATTATTATGATGATGATGATTATTATTATTATTATTTTTATATATATAGTTTGGACGCGTTTGTCTTTGCTCCTGGATCATTTTCGGTGAGCTCCTATGCCACGGCGGGAGGGTGGAGAGGAGAGACAAAGAGACTTTCTGTCCTAATCTCCTAAGGATATTTTGTATGACTTCCTCATCCTTGAACTTGATTTATATAGTGACTTTTACAGAGGGATTGGACACGTTTGTTTTTATCACCTAAGCAGAAAGCTCAGTGTAGAGGCAGAGAGTGATGTGTGCAAATCTCCAAGCTAATCTGCTCTTTACTTCTGTATTTCAGTTCTATTTCACTCAGTTGCTTGGGCAGAGTGGATAGATTTTGATCTGACTTGTCTGGGCACAGCACCTTTTGTTTTCACAGGGTAAGATTTGGCCCTCCGCGTCCAGATTATTTCTAGTACGCAGTGGCGGTTCTCCTGTTTTATTGTTTCCAGTTTGCCCTTTTAAAAAGCAAAAGTATTCTAAAAATAAAAAGTTGCCCGTGGATGCCAATATTGGTAATAGAGAGAGGCATCCACAGTCCAAATTACCCACCGGCTGGACTTGGTACAAGACTTTGAAAGGTCAGATTGGCTTATTTCATCATAGCAATATTACTTTTCAGGTGTTTCTAATGTTTGGGGACTTTTCCATTGGGAAGTGCTTCTGTCTACAAGAATAAAAATTGAGGCTACTGGAACAAAGGCTGCCATCTTTTATGCCAGTACATTTGTGAGAGAGCAGTCTTGTGTTCCTTGCTACCCTCCCCTTTTCTGTTTTAAATAGCTTATAGATCGCTTTCTCTACCACCTGATTTGGTGCCTTGGAAAAAGGAAAATGTAAGCAGTTGGGTGGAAAGGCCATCCTGTTACAGTGGATGGTACTGATCTGCCTAGTTAATGTTGGGGCTTTGCACACATCTTGATATTCTCATGTGGTCTCTGAGCAGTGATGCTGCTGGCTAGATCAGAATGGCAATAAGTATCTCTGACTAGAGTCAGGGTTGGCCTGCCACTGTAGCTACCTTCCAGGGTTGTTTCCAGTCCATGTAGCAAGGAGCATGTTAGGAATGGAGAGTTGAAGAGAATGGATGAGGAAGAGCAGTTGATTATACAGAAGTCGACTCTGTATATTCTTTGGTATATCAGTCTAGTACCTGAACTAAAAAGACTTCTAAAAAGAGAAGGCTGGATCACTGCAATGCGGTTCACTTTGAACTTTCCATTCCTGTTGGATTTAAAGGTTTCTGCCACATCAAACAAAATTGTCCTTAGCTAGAGAAGGTGTTCCAGCAGCCCCTGCCCCTCTTTTGGTCGCCACCGGATTCCAAGATGGTGGGTTCAGTTAGTTATGTTGGTCTTGTTGGTGGTCCTGGAGCATCTTGGAATCTCTTATAAATTGAAGTCAAACATGCAACATCTTAAAACTTGAGCGCACTTTTGTGACCCAAGTGCGTGGGATTTACATTTGCACTTAAATGGCAGAAATCTTTATTTCTTCTTCCCCTCCCTCATGGTCTTGGTCTGCTCACCTCTGACTCTCCACCTTCCCAATTCACTGACTATTTAAAACAATTATCCCTAATACTTCAAAACTAGTGAACTGCAAGCAGGGAAACTAACAAATGTCCGTCCACCGTTTTTAATGTTTTTGATTATTTTTTTTTTTGTTTTATTTTTTTAAAAACTAAGCTTGAACCAAAGTCAATTTCTAGCAAGCTGCTGTACTAATGGACTAGTTTGTATAAGTGCAGTTCAAACGCAGAGAGGCGATAGATGCTACTGACAATTTCTTTTTCATTTGTCTTTTTTTATTATTAATTTTATATAAAAATTGCTGCTTGTTTTAACGTTTTTTGGTTGGTCGGTTGGTAATTTGTATTATCCTTGGGGCAGACTCTTAACTTGATTTTTTTTTTTTTTTTTTTTTTTTTTTTTTTTAATTTTTTTTTTTTTTTTTGTTTGTCTTTTTTTTT